AGAGATCGAGGTTTTGATCAAGTTAAAAAGTTAATCTTGATCTTTTGTGATGGCAACCATGAAGTTTGATGTTCTGCTATTGGATCCCAGTATAAGATTTTTGTTGTGGCAGATTAGGAGGTGGCCGGTGCTCGCTTATAGGAGATTGATTTCGTTGTGTTTTTTCCCACTCCATATATGTTGTTTAAAAGATACGATCTCATATAGTTGTGATCTCACAAGTGAAAAGTTTATGATGCTCTATATTCAAATGAGAAGATGAAGCATCTCGTTGAAACTAAGGCTCGTGGAAAAAGGGCTTGTTCTTAATAGTGGTTGTGTAAGGGGCAAATTAAGGTCTAAATTTAAAATTTATTGCAAGAGTTCAAGGCACTTAATTAAGAATTGCTATAAGTTACAGAATAGAGAAAATTTTGCTGCAGCTTTTCAGAAGGGAAATCACTTAGATACTACAGGTGAAGCCATTGTTGAAACTTTTCACAATAATGGAGATCTTTTTTACTTATTTCTAACTATTACTTCAAGACGAGGATTGGATTTTTGATATAGTTTGCACTTATGTATCCCAATCGAGATTCATTTTCAACATATGAAACAATTTCGGATGGTGTTCTGGTAATGGAAAATAATACACCTTGTTAGACAGTTGGTATTGTTCGGGTCGGATTAAAGTTGTTTGATGGGGCGGTTAAAATGCTTGATGCAGTGAGACGTGTTTTAGATTTAAAGATAAATCTTATCTCCTTGGGTACTCTTGTTTCAAAAGGACACAAGTACACTGGTTAAGGTAGAATCCTGAAGGTTCGTGAAGGAGCCCATTTTTTGTTATATGTCTTGTATTGTTATACAAAATCTTTGGTGGATCAGCATATTTTAAGGGCTCGGGTGGATTTAGATTTTGATTATGTACCGTTAGAGTTTAATTTGAGGTCTTTTTTGAAGAATACATCTCAATTGAATTTAAAAGTTATGGATAAATATGCCTTGCCACTATTAATGGAGGTGTCATTATATTTAGTTGCTAGTAAAAGATCCATTTTTTGGCCATAAAACTTAACATAGGTACAATTCTGTTGATTTAGTTGATGGTTTGAATGCGGTTAAAGGTGTTGATTCTAGCCGAGATCCTTCTTTTGATGCATTCAATTGTGATTCTATTACAGGACTTGTTTCAGCCTTGTTTGGTAATCATTATATCACTCTTGTCCCTAATTGGTGTGGTAGAGTTGGAGAATATTTTCAATTGAAAATTTTAATGGAGAATTTCGTTTGTATTTTTGTTGAAAGGTTGAAATTTATTCCTTACAATGAAATTTGTCTCCAAATGGAGAATCCTTGAAGTTTGTTAGAATTTTGGTGTGATATGAATTCTTTGTTGAAGATAATAGAGAATTCTAATTAAAGTGCACGTTTAGATGAATTCTATTTGGAATGTTTTCGGAATCCTATTCGAAGTTTATTTGGCAAATTCTATTTGAAAGCTCTATTAGGAATTGTAATTTGTGTTGGATTTAAAAATATCAAGATAAGGAAACTTTTTGGATATTCTATTTCATCTACAGCTCTACTTCTAGGGCTTAAATTGTTCCATATATATATTTGACTCTTCTTGCAATTTAGTTAGGTTGATTCTTCCTATTATGGATTGTTAATCTCATTATAGGTTGGTTTAACCTTATTGGAGATTTGTTTATCCCATTATTAGTTAGACAAATTGTAAATACAAATCATCATAATTTGTTTCTATATTTTAGTGAAATTTTAATTTACTCAACAAATTATATTCTTTTGTGAGTTTGTGGTCTTTACTTCATATTGTGTCTATAATCTCGTATTATCTTTAACAAATTGATATCAGAGTTATCTGTTATCTTCCACGTTTCTCAACATAAACAATATGTGTGGTAAACAGAAAACTAAAAAATAAAAAGATTGTCAATATACTATTCAATCCAGTTCATTAATGCATACCAAACATGCTTTAAATGTTCAACTATAAAGAAACTAGCATTAGAACGGAGTAAGGAAAACAAAGCACCCATTAAGTCTTATCTGGGAGAAACCAACAAATACTGAAGCCAAACTGATCTTGTCTTGAGAAGTTAAAAACAACTTATATTCTGGTCTGTTCTTCCTCTGGTTTTGATGTACAGTCGAGAAATCGTCTTTTGTACTCTTCATTCGCGTTCAATTGCCTTGCTCGTCTTATGGCAAAGATATGCCTTATTTCTATCAAGCCCTGTTATGGATAGGATCTGATCCTCTTGGAACTCTTCTTTTGCTCATTCGGTATGGATTAAATGTCTGATTTAGAGGTGCCGGTTTCTTATCTGTATTCCGGCCCTTCATGCCATCTGCAACAAGTATACGTTTACTCGTCCTCTGATTCTTTACCATCAACTGAAGATTTTTTCGTCGTCGTTGTGCAAGATCTATACTTGTCGAGCCACAAAATTCACTTGGACAAAACACTAATAATCCTAGACAGAAGAATAATAAGAATTCCCTACGAACACGAAGGACCATAACTTTCTTCGAGGAAAAGAGGAATGAAAATATGTTTCTCTTATGTTAAGAATACTAAGAGATATGGTGGTCTGAGATTGTTGTCCTTGAGTTCCTATGTTCCATTCCTAGATATATATTATATGAAGAGTGGTGCTACGTGTACACACNAGTTGAATAAAGGTATTTGGAACAAGACCCTCAAGAAGCTAATTAAGCATCTTTTCATTTGTATCCTTACTCTATAATTTGCTCTGCTTTTGTCTTCTAAATTAAAGACCAGTCTAGTCACCCTGGACTCCCAACCATCTTTCCACATCATCCACCATGCAGGTGCTTACATCCCCAAGAAATGTTACTCTTATTCTATTCATCATACCCGGTCCTAAACGCGAATAATAGAACTTTAGAATAAAGTTGTGGTAGGTTGACAAACAACCTAAACTTTCATCACACCCTTGTAGCACAAATTTTTCCCTACTGAAAAATAAAAATAAAAAATAAGACGATATTCATAGCTAGTGACTCTTGGTAAAAATAAAAAAGAATAAAAATTTATCCCAACCCAAAAATTAATTTTAGCCTAACTAACTTTATTGTCAACCCAAGCCCAACGTTCAATTATTCAAATTTAGTTTAAGACTCTACAACAATTACATATTTATTTTATTCATATTCATGATACACAAATAACTCGTTACCAAATTAAGTATTTTATTTCGCACACACATATATAACTAAGTTTAAAGAGTTCACTTATAATCAAATTAATTTATTATATAATAAATATTTTTTATTGATTGAAGATAAATGACCTATTTGAATAGTATGAAATACCACATGTTTGATTAAGCTTAAAAGTAATTAATTTTTTTCTAATATATTTTTTCATATATTACTTATTTATACTTGTGAGTTAAGAATTTATTCATTTCGACCATGAAATGGATGTTACCATCAAAATAAATAATATACTCTATATTTAATTTTATTAGTTAACAATATATTTGTTAGAACTTTGTTATGAGTGTCCCAAAATATATTTTGACCCGCAGTATTAAGAGTGTTATGAATTTAACCTTTTAGACTAAATCTCAAGTGGTATAGAATATCTTTTATGATATGAGTTCATTGAAAAAAAAAATTTAAATTTCACCCCACCCTAACGTATCTTTCTGACTTCGCCCCTGTAGGTAACTATTAGGTTGGAAGCTCTAGTAACTTAGGGGGAATAAGAAGTCCAAGAAATACTGCAGCCTCACATTGAAAATGTATGGAAGGGACTGATTCTTTGCTTTTTAGGTTCCAAGTTGAGGTAAAAGAGTTATGCACTTTCATTGCATGCTTTAATCTAATACCCCACAGGATTAGTTCAAATAATATATGTGTATATCAATCTACAGGAAGAATATGGCTGCAGTCTTGTTTGTATCTCATATGGGCTACAAATGAAACAAAGAATCCAATTTGTTTAAGGGACCAGAGAACTTTGCTTTAGTTCATGGCTCCAAATCTTTATACATTAATTGATGCATTGCATGTACATCACCCAAGATTGGATTTTTAGAATATAAACTGTTAGGTTCAGGTCTCGCCTTTAGGATGATTTTTGTATATTATCGCCAGTTCAAATATGCTCGTAAAAGAATAATTTTGATATTGCCAAGTAGAATATTTTTTTTTATTTTTTGCAAGCGAAAATAAATCGGTGTTCAACAAGAATAAATTACACTTTATTATTAGAAGATTTAAAATAACTTCATTCTTGACAACCCTTCCAATTAATCTCTTTTACGTCTCGTGTGAGGAATCCTCTATTTAGGTCTGCAGAATCTCTCTATGGCATGCTATTTACATAATAAAATGTTAGAACCAAAAGAAAACGATTGTCGATAATTGTTAGAATATTTTTTTTGTCCTTTCTTTTTTCCCAGTCAACCATTGTTTTGCCACTATTCTTTCTTAAAGTTAAATTTAAAGACAAAGCGGTCATCATAAGACCAGTCGAAAGGAGATGTGTACTTTGAGATTGTTCCACATTAATAATGTGATATAACCATAACCAGCGAATGAAGTAACGAGCACGAAAATTGTATTTACACCACAATTATGCTATTTGTGAAAGTAAAATTTACACTAGAGAAGTTGATATTGAACTAGGAGAATGAAGCGCTGAATTTATAGACACCAGTTTGTTCATAATCAAATAAAGTACATCAAATAAATACAGATTGATAAAGTTGTGGATTGAAAGGCAAAAGCTCCCGGAGTCAAATGGTGAATAAAACACTGAATCATTTCTCCAAAATAGCTGGTGGAGAAAAATCACATACATGTACACATTTAGCACAAGGAAATTTAAAATAAAGAAAACCGAAAAATATTGTGATATTGTGATAATCGGAAGCATCATCATTCCTCCACCACGTGTGCAGTGAACTGCAAGAAAACAACTCCCAAAAATGGTACAAGGACATTGAGGAAATTGTTATTTGTTAAACATGTTCCTCCACCGGAGAAACCTGTGAAGTGACTGAGGGTGCAGCTGATGCAACTAGAAGACCTCTGCTTTGCGCTGATTGTACCAGAATCGCAAATTGTGTTGCTGCCAGTGCTGCCTCCTGTTCCACCAAATCACAAATACAAAAGACATATATACAAGTTAACATACAAATTCATCATGTTTCAGTCTTTCAGACTGAGGGGTTGTATAAAGGGGCCAGCGGCCAAAAGTCTTGGAAGTTCAATGGACCAGAAAGAACACTTTATTATTATTTTTGAAAAAAAAATTGAAGTAAAGACTTATGGGCCAATGCTGGTCCAACATGAGCCGCCCAGAGAAAAAAGGCATAACCCTTTTTTCACCCCTATCTCAGACTTGCACATTGAGAAAGCAAAGTGATGCCATATTGCCAGTCACTTAGAATATATACTCACTTGTCTTTGCCTCCGACGTTGCAATATATTAATGGCCCATATCATAATGTAGCAGGGCAAGAGAAAGCCCACGACTCGAAGTAAGAACAGCTGTTCAGTAAGTTAGTCAGCACATTTCAAAAGCGTAATCAACACTATCCAAAAGTTTATTCAATGTAGATATATTTCCTGTCTACTTACGGAGAAGAAAGTAAATGCATCATCATCTGGACCACCATCTCCATCTCCATTTCCATCAGCATCGGTGATAGATAATGCATGCCGCAAGAGCAGAAGAGACATTAACTGCAAACCGATATAGCCCACATTTATTTTAGATTGTGCACAGCATATACTCCAAAAAATATCAACAAGCACAAAAAGTGCAACATGATCACAACCATTTCTATCCTTTCTTCCTCTCTTTGAGTCTCCATCTCTCTCTGTCTGTGTGAATGCATGTGATTCTGTGTGAGCCCCTGGATAGAGCTATACTGATCTACCATGGTTTAAACATACCTTTGGGCCATTTTCACCTTCTTTACATTTGGCAAGGCCTAATGCCATCAGTGAGAACATAAGTAGGTGTTGTAAAAGGACAGATCGGTAATTTAGAATCTCTCCCCAAGAGGAGAGTTGGATCATGCACCGAGTAACATAAAGCTTCTCAAGGGCTATGTTGCATGGACACAGACATGCGAGTCAGATCCAAACGAGACGTGATTTTTATAAATGAAGGACATGGGTACGTTAATTTAAATCCTTCTAAATTGTAGATATATAAGTTCTATCTTTATGTTTATCCATTTTATTTTTAATAATATCAATTCTTTTCTTAATTTTTATTTTTGTTCATGAAATCTTTTAAATTGGCTGGTAGATATTTGTTAAATTAAAATAACTTTAAATTAAACTAGATATTACACTTCCAGGGAAGAGAAAATACATATAATATATGTCATGGAGTGTCCAGTCAGGCACGACACAACACGGACATGCAACAGTCTCTGCATCATAACTCAAGGGTGCCCAAACCCAGAAATTAGAAGTACCATCTTTTCCGCCAGTTTTCACACTGCCCTAATTTTCCAGGGTAATAATAAACGAAGAAAGTTACTATCTCTCTCTCTCTCTCTCCAGCGCACATTTCCTGTGCCTGACATGACATCTAATTCAAGCAACAATATATCATTAACAATTATCATCTATTTACTTCGAGCAGTTCTTAATATTGTTTCAGAATTTCTTGTTTGAATTTGAAAGTGAACATGAAACAAGAAGCAAATGGCTAATGGCGATATTGGAACTTTCAGAGTAAAGGCTTACAATTAGAATGGCTGAACGGCAAAAGGCAGCACCACTGTTGTTTGTTCCATTATAATCATCATGGTCTGCTTCGAACAACTGACGTTCAGCCTCAGAAATTGCCAGTAGGCGAGGATCATGCAAATCCAGCGGTGTGCCAGAAAGTTGCCACACTCCTCTACAAGACAGATTATACAACCAAAATACAATAAATCCACAAAGTCGTGAACATGTATATTTCCAAATTAAAATAAGAGAATAAGTACCGACTTTGAACTTTTCAAATTATTTGCTTTGGTGAGACTAAAATTCTGACGTCAAGAAAATACAGTCTGTACAGATGATATGAATTTAAAACATTAAACTAAAACTTACCCAATATCTATGGTAGTCTCCTCAGGTTGAGGCCGTGGAGGAGCAGTGTATCCAGATTGATACGGCTGCAAAACAAAACGAAAATTGTGGATCATGTCAAAAGCACACACAAAAGTAAACTACTTCCAACATGTTAACTTTATCTAGAGTGCTCAAAATATGAACACTTGTCACTTAAAAAGATGACACCAACTCTATTTCTGTGAATGGGTCTAATTACAAGCCAAGTCACTATTTGTTTAGAATGATGTACCATCTGTAGTAGATTTTCCTGTAACATGTTTTCCATCTTTGACCAATGAGAAATTTATTTATCTTAACAGTTACTTATTTACTTACGAGTAAACTTTTAAGCTTAGCCAAACATGCTCAAACAACTCGTAGTTTATCTTCTGACACTCGCCAGCCTTTTTCTTAGGACCATCACTTCCACTGGCTTATGTTGGTAATCACATCCCATGAATATATAAAAAAGAACTATGTGCAACTAATTGATGTTTCCAATAAACTGTACTAGACAACCTAAAACAGTTGGGGTTATTAGAAATGGCTAAATTTTCAACAAAAAAGCATGTAAAATAACGAAAATCATCCTTGCCAACATTAATGAACAACAGGTCCAAGGAAGGATTCTGTACCTGATGGCAGATCTCACAAGTAATGTCCCCCTTCTCATTGCACCAATGTTGGACACATTTTCTGTGAGCATACTGCAGAAACAAATGGACGTTATTTAGATAATTAAATAGGTGAATAAAACAATTATGGCATGTTTGGCAAAGTGGATTAGATAGTATTGGATAACATTAATAAATAGAGAGAAGCTAAAATCTTGTCTATCATATAGTCAGTTAACGCCTAATATATACCAACAAACAAGCACTTCAGGTCCTCATTAGAAGGGGGAAGGGAAGGGCTTTGCCATAAACAAAGAAGACTTGATTAAACTCCCACAACTTTGAATGAATTTGTATGATTTTAAGCATTTCTCTAACAATTCAAGCTTCAAACTTGAACTCCAACACATACACATCTTAACTTTACCACGTTACAAATTTAGTCACCACAAAATGGCAAAAGAATGCATTTTTCTCATCATGCTGAATATTTTGAAGATAAATTTCTTAAAGTCCTACTACTTCAAAAGCTCAATTTGAGATTCAAAACTGTATCAACACATAATATGCTTTGATGTACAATCACCTTGATATAAAGGTAAATATTGACCATTCTTGAGAACATTTACCTTGAGACTTCCACTGCAAGCACAAGGACTCTCTAAATTGTTCAGAGAATCCTCTTCCTGGCAAATTCGGCACTCTGCCATTGCTAACAATGGTGCCTCCTCGTCTGCAGCCTCATTGTTCTCCTCCTCCATCACTTCCTTCTCCTTCGCCACCGAAGATGAGGGCCCCACCACAGCTGGTGAAGCCAACTGGCTGGACCCTACCATCTCCGGCTTCACCAGCTGGTCCACACGCACCACCAAATTCTCACCCATTTGCACCTTTTTTACACCACCGCCAAAAACAACAGCCACGGAGAATTCCTATACAAAAATCATAAAAACGTAAAACAAATCCCTCAAAACTACACACTAATCAATGCCCATTTCATTTTATCCACAAAGTTATCATCTATTGGCCTGTAAATCTGAAAAAAGGAATCTTCAATACCAAAATCAAAAACCCAATTCATAAAGGAACAAAATCAAGATTTCCCATTGCAATTAATAAATAAATAAATAAAAGTCAACTTTTTTCTTATGATAAACAAAATCTACTTCACCACAAAGACAATTATGGGTCTTCAAAAAAACCTTGAAAATAAATTAAAATCCACTGATCACGCTGCAATATACAGAGGGATCAGAGACTTTCTTAGATATGGAAGCCAAACCGAAAAATGAAAAGAAAAAGAAAAGAAATGTACCTGAAGAACAAAGAACTCGAAATCAAATCGCGAATTTGTTGCCTAACCAAAGAAAAAAAAATAATTGAGGGTCAATAATGTATATGTCTGTGTATATAAGCGTGTGCATATGGATATATAACAGTAATTTCTATTTAATTTTTACGCGTTTTCTTGGCCTTCACTTTTGTCTAATCTTGATTCTTGACTTTTGACCGTAAGATTTGCTCCAAAGAAGCTTCTCGTTTTCTTTGTCACGTTAGGGTGAGATATAGGTGGGGTAAAGCTAAGCATAGGATTTGGGGGAAGAAATTGTTGTCCTTAATTATGTTTTGGTAATAGATGACGTTTTTTTCGAAAGTTCAAAGTCTAGAAATTAAAATGGGGTAGGACAACTATTTATTTTTGAATCAGGCTACATGAACATGGCCATGTAGGCTTGTTCAACAAGAATTATCCTTTATTTTTTGCCGTCTAGACCTATCTTATCTCACCTAATGGTGATATTTCATCTAGAATATCGTAGATGCACAAGAATTTGATAAAAATAAGCTAAATTGATCAAAATAAGCAAATATTTTTGACATGCCATAGGAAATAGGGTGGGAGTGGGGATTAGAGCATCGATGCCGAGACATTAATATATCTCTAGTACCGGCTAACAAGATTTTTGTCAAACCGAAATGATAAGGGAAGAAATGCATTATCTAGAGCTCGTCTAAATTTAGAAACTTAACTAGACATGATAACTCAATAATGTATTTGATTCTTGTTTCTGTTTTTAGGTAATGGAATTTTTCTCCCTTCCTCTCCACTTTATTTAATTTCATTTTAGGATAAATAAAAGACATTTTATTTAGCTGTAGATGGAACTCATTGAAGATCACTTTTAAATTTGATTATTCATTAGACTGATATGCCACGCAAATTATAAGCTTTTATCTTATCTTCTATATAAACTAAAATCCATAGAATGCATCAAAGATGTACTCATGAATCCCACTTCTAACTCGTTTATGCTTTATATCGAAATGATCTGAAATTTCAAATTGAGCCCCTGTTTGGCCAGCATTCTTGTGAAGAAAAA